CCTCTAACAGCCAAGCACCTGACGCCAACCTGTAATCAGCCACGCCTCCCGCATGTTTCTTCATCGCCGTGTCGGAGCTCATGCCGTAAAACAGTTTGTACTTCTTGCCGTTTTTTTCGATGATCTCGCCGCTGCTCTCCAAGTGGCCGGCCAGCATACCACCGAGCATCACAAAGTCTGCTCCAGCACCTGAGAGCCAAACAAGCAAACTCCGTTTTCACGCTAGTTATACTTTAAGATTGGAGTTCAAGTTCTCTTTGAAAACACAGCAACTCACCAAAAGCCTTGGAGACATCTCCCGGGCAAGTGCACCCCCCGTCCTGTGTGAAAGCAAACAAGGCGTTACGACTGTGACTTTATCATGGCTGCACAACTCTAACAAATAACACTGACCTGGGAATTACAGTCAGTAGTTTCATCAGGCTACGGCCCATGAGTAATAAACTAAAGATAAATCAATGTCAGTTTCTGTCTCACAGGTCTCGGCTTAAAGGAAGAGTCCAGAACATTTTGTGTTGTTAGATGACAAGAATGAGTCTAAACTCTGTCCAGGAACAGTGGAAAACACACAGTACATAAAAGATAGATGCAATAATAACAATAAAATGATCATCAGGGTAAACAGACTAAGAACATGTTATAATGAAGAGCATGCAAGTCTGAACTGATGGGCTTTGAAATGAGATTTAAAATAGAAAGCGAGTTTAGGGTCAGATCTGGATATCAGCTGATATTATCTATTTGGCTCAAAAAAAGAAAAAAAGAGGCGGGACAAACACTCTTGAACCATGCAGATGTGCACCAGAGGGGATTCTGGTTGGCAACACCAAAGGAACAACCAGCTGATCCAAGCAATCGGGGAAAGTGTAAAAGAGTAAATAAATAACTCCACGAAATAAATGTTATGAAAGTTTGTTTAACTTGTACATCTGATTTTCAAATGACCGAGCATCAGTAGTAGCATCAGTCATAATATTGGTGGAGCTTGTTTTGCGCACTTCCTTTTTGAAACCTCGAACTGAGCCTTTATTTTGTTTTTGTTAAGCCACATGTTGCTGCAACAGTCACTTATTAACCACAGGAAAACCACCCTGGGTGGAGGACACCCCGCTTTACCTTCTATTTTACTCCAAATATAAATATACCCAAAATCTATTAAAATTTATATTTTGCAATAAATAAGATTTTAAGCAACGACTGAGACCTTAAACACTTTAGGAGAGTGTTTACTGAGATCTCGGATGAAAAAACTCAAAAAGGGGCAGCTTCTTATCGATGTATTAAATCTGACTCGACCACAGGAACCGCCCCCTGCTGGCCGTTAAAAAGAATGCAATGGTTTTAAAGTGCATAACACAACTGCCCATATTTTACATACAAGAAACAGCTAAAACTCAACCATGTGCATCTAGAAAGCTCACAAATTAATGGCATATGTTATTGATTCAAAGGGATTTAAAAAAATAAAAAATAGAACTTGTGGTTTGAGACACTCTTCTATTTCTATTCCTTCGACCACTTCCTGTGTGCTTCCTTTTAACGCAGGAAACATGCCATCTTCAAACTCTTCTCATCGCGACTGCACTCACTGAGATGATGTGGCCACCCAGGCCATGGGCTGCATCTGCACACTCAATGACGGCGCTCAGCTGAGGATAGCCAACCCCTGTCTTCTTGCGGGTGGTGCACACAGAGCCTGAAGAGGAAGGAGGAGAGAAACAGGAAACAGCAGTTTTAAGCACTGTTGAGTCTTTATGTGGCAAATGAACGTTGACTGCATGGTGGCAAATATGAATAACTATTAGCAGAGAAAAAGGAACGTAAACAAGGTGGGTAATTTTATATAAATATAGAAAATGTTCTTATAATTTAAATATGCCTGTGCAGAACATAGGCAAGATAACCTCACGGCGAGTGAGCTAAGATCAACTGCAGAGTGCCTTAAGGCTCACCTGGTCCGATGCCTACTTTGATGATGTCGGCGCCGGCGAGGATCAGCTCTTCCACCATCTCTCCTGTTACCACGTTCCCTGCCTGAGCAAAAATAAAAATCAGCACGTATCCGAGAAATGTCGTTTTCCTCGGGCATTTAAAAGGATTCACAATCAGGAACTGACCATTATCGTGTGCGAGGGGAACTTCTCCCTGACGTCTCTGACGAAGTGGACAAAGTGCTCTGAATAACCGTTTGCCACATCCACGCAGATGTACTTCAGCTGCGGCACCGCCTCCACCACGGCCGAAATCTTCTCAAAGTCACCGTCACCGGTCCCCGTGCTGACTGCCACACTCTGAGAGACGAACACAGAAGAGTGAGACTCGTCTTACAGTTAACACGCCATTAATAACCTCGTCAGAATCACTGGTTCAAACAGCAGTGAGTACCTCCAGACATTCTGGATGCTTTTCTGCAAACTCCAACCAGTCATCCACCGTGTAATGTTTGTGGACTGTGGTGAACAGAGTAAACTGGAGGAAGACACAAAGAACAAAATTCGGTTATCCATGCAGACATACAGCAGTGCAAGAACACAGCCTATCGTACTGTGCACAAGTCTTGAGCCACCAGAGTTTCTTTATATTTTGGTAGAAAAATGGGAAATAGGTGAAGTGATTTATCGGTGCAAAAATGCATGAACATACAAAATATAAGGCAAAAAAAGAATTTGCACAATTCTAACGAGTTTGAGAGTCAATATTTGGTGTGAACATCTTTATTCTTCAACACAACCTGAACTCTCTGAGGCAGATTTCTTGTGATTTCTTCAAGTAGTCTTCAGGAATAGTTCTCCAGGCTTCTTGAAGGACATTTAAAGCTCTTCTTTGGATGTTTCTGCCTTTTGTTCTGTTCTCTGTCAAGATGATCCCACACTGCTTCAATAACATTGAAGTCTGGACTCTGAGGAGGCCAATCCATGGCTGATAGTGATCCACTGTGTTTTTTATATTCGCGTATATTTAACTTCATTGGCAGTGTGTTTGAAACCACCGTCATGCTGAATAATGAAGCTGCTACCATTCAGTCACTTTCCAGATGGCATTGCATGGTTTATTTTGAGATGTACAGAAAAGTGGTGTCACTGCTGTTGGGATTAAATAATTTGCAGTGCCTCAATAATGCTATGCTTTTCATTAATAATGAGTGTTATAAAGTTATACAGAGTAGTATTAAGTAGACACAGCCCTGAAAAATAAAGGCATGAGACCATGTGTCCTTGGGGAGTAGAAAGCTGCAGACTCTCGCTCACACTTGCCTGGGAAAATGTAGATAAGAGGGAACCATCTCTAGTGGAAAGTTACAGGGACACTGTTGTTTAGACTAGAATGAGAGAGCTTCTGTAATAAAACTGTTGGGGGCGCACCACCATTTTGAGATCCGCGGCAACGTGTCATGCAGGACGCATCTCCCTTCTACAAGTAATGTGAAAGAGAAATAAAGTGTTAAATGGTCTACTGAGCAGTGGTTTGTCGTCCATCGGATGCCTCTGAATTGTTGATATTTACACTGTTCATGCAGTGACATCTGATGGCCATTAGGGGCAGTATTAATGAATGACACACACACACAAAAAAGTGTGTGTTTGTGATGTGGTCGTCATCTTTTTTTGGCTGAGAAGGTTAATAGAATTGTAAGATAATACAAAGAAACACACAGTTATTTGTATTATCATTCTATTGATATAGAAATATTCCACATGTAAGCCACCAATATTTAAACTGAGGCTTCAGACTCCTCCTGTTTTTAATCCCCCGTTCAGCAGGGACAGGTAAGAGAATCAGTGCCCATCCTCAGGTGTAGGGATTACTGGCACTCACATTACTCATGGCTTAGATAAATTTAGGTTCACCTACTTCTGTTTGGACTACTTTAATCACTCCCTACTGCTGCCAGCAGTACTTCTCAGTGAAATAATACATAACAGCAAACATTTCTGCACCTGGTGCAAAGCCACAGCCATCTCAAAGGTCCCCACAGTGTCCATGTTAGCAGCGATGATGGGGATCCCTCTGTAGTTGCCCTTAGAGTTCCTGAAGGTAAAGCTCCTCATCAGGTCAACCTGTGGTACATGAGGAGGCCAAAAAAATTACTTAAGAATTAATTTATGCAACCAGCTGGCAAAACATTTATTTTAGTTATTTGGAATTCCCACCAATGATTTGCTGTGACTCGCAGAGCCACACAAGACTGTATTTTGTGCCCCTTTTAAAGCACTGTCGCATGGCCTGTGGGCTCACTTTCCAAGAATAGCTAATGATTTAGCAAATGGAAACATCTGCATGTAGGTCAGTCTGCTTTCCTGTGGAAACTGCGCACAGCTGCATTACCCACCTCGCTCCTAGACTTCAGCGTACTCCGTTTTGGCCGGAGGAGCACATCCTTGAAGTCTAGCTTGATGTCATTCTCTATACGAGGCATTTCCGAAAAGAAGCAGCAGCAGCCGGTCTAACAGGGAAAAAGATGGAGCAGTGCGGATCTATGAAAGAGAGGAAAGTTCATATGTTAAGGGGACACCCCTTACTTTGTCATTCAAACAGCCATGTATATGAAAAACAAGTAACTGTAAGCAGGTACGCTCAAAGTTGACGTCAGGAGGGACCCTCAAAAAGCCAAGAATCCTTCAAGGACTGAAAAAGAGACTCGGGGAAAATCCGGGACTGCGTTATGAAAATGGACTAAGTCCTTCTGTAGCTAATGAGTCCTGCTTTTTTAGGTCCGATGCCAAAATTCAAGGTTACACCACATAACGGGGTTAATAGCTGAAGTCACTCACAGACCGTTCATGTAAGCATGAGCTAATAACAATAAAATGAGTGAGTTATCTACCATTTTAATAATTTACCAAAACAAAGTACTTACCGTTGGGAAAATAACAGATCTGGTCCGAACCTCACCGCTTCAGCTTCCGTCTCCACTGGCGGGAAACCTTATTGTGGCGGACGCCCGCTGGCACCCGCCTTGTAGTTTTTAAGGGGTTCTGCTCGGAGGAGACGACGCACGTAAAAACTACTAACTCGACTTGCGCTTTACGTCATGTGGTACTGATGTCGTAAGGATTTTTAAGGTACTTGGGTGAGAAATTTGGGTTTGCTTTTCTTGTGACCTGGCTCCAGTTAACGTAAAGTCATTTAGGTTTGAATGTTGTGTTTGTTTGTTTGTTTGTTTTTGCGGAAAATAAAATATATAAACCGGAAATCCACGAAGCGGAACGGTTAACGTACAAACGAGAAGGGGGAAAGACACAGGAAGTATCCACTGATTTTCTGTGAAGAGGAGGAATATCGCGTATCTTCATCAAAATACCACATCGAAACCTAAAATTCCAGAACGTAGTTGGATATATTTTACATTCCTTTAATATATACTCGCACCACTGATCCCAATTGATTGATATTTCTACGAAGAAGTCAACAAAGATGCTGATTAAAGTGAAGGTAAGGTCCGTCATACTGAACGATTTGAGACTCGTCTTGTTATTACTGACTCACTGCCTCTGCTGGATCCGTTGAAATCATTTGCTTAACAATGTTTTTATCACAGACACTCACTGGCAAGGAGATAGAGATTGACATAGAGCCCACAGATAAGGTACATGTTTGTCTTTTTTTGATGTGCGCAGATAGTAAGTCGGTGTGTTTTTCAGTGCATTTTAATTCATGTACATCCAGGTGGAGCGGATTAAAGAAAGGGTGGAGGAGAAAGAGGGGATCCCTCCCCAACAGCAGAGGCTAATCTACAGTGGAAAACAGATGTAAGACCCGGATACAGTTTTTTTTTACTAAAGAGTGATGTTGGGGATGTATTTAATGGAAGCACCTGCACACAGTGTAGTTTATTACAGTAAATCTCTTAAAATAAATATCCCAGTGTAGCAAGTGCTCACTAGTGCACCACGTGTATCTGCCAGAAATCAGTTGGCCTTAGTTTAAAATGAAACTGTACTTAAGATTTATATCTGTCACAGAAACAAATCTGCATTAGCATGCTAATACTGATAGGAAGGGCAAGAGCAGAATGATCAACTTTACCTCAGGTTAATGTACCCAGGCGAATTATAAAATGTATTAAATTTATAGTTAAAATCAGTCAAATATATGCTAAAGGCCATTTCATGCCATTGTGCCAACGAGACTCAGATCACCTGACTGGAGCAAGAAGGAAACATAGGACTCAAAAATCCATCTGCACATATAGGTTTTTATTTTATAAAGTGTAAATTTTACAAAATCCACTTTGCACCTATATACTGCATTTTAGGAACAACCACAGACACATTGCTGACCTCGTTTTAGTTTGAAAACTGCAGGGTGGTGCTTGAATGTGGACGGGGTGAAACAATGACTCTCACATTTGCCACCATATTCAGCCTTATCAGGCACAAAAATGCAGCTAAATCATTACGAGTTAGATTCATAAACATAATTTTTTGCTGTTTGCAAAGCAGTCGAGTCTAAAGGGTCACTTTAGTTGTTAGCAGTGACTCTGTAAGGTTTATGTTGAGATAACTGCCTTTTACTCATCGTTGAATTTTAGTAACGTTTACAGCTTATTGTTGTTCTAAAGAAGGAAATCTCTTGTCTTAATTTTTGCTACCGCTTCTCTTCTGAAGCAGCATTTTTTATAATACAAAGAACTACAGATGTACGTCGACATTATCCTCAAAACGTTTAGGGAAAAGTTCCACATCTTTACCTGCTTAAACTGTTTTACGTATTAAAATAAATCATTTGTGTCAGATGGATTTTCATTTAAAAAAAAAAAAAAGAGTATTGAATGCATCGTCTCTTTCCTCAGGAATGATGAGAAAACAGCAGCAGACTATAAAATCCAGGGAGGCTCCGTTCTCCACCTGGTACTTGCTCTGAGAGGAGGATGCCTGCTCCACCATCGCACAACACTTTGTTCTACACCTGCGGTGTAGCCTTCACCGCTGCCTCAGCTGTTGCCCTGCCTGCACGAAGCAAGAACAGTGACGACTCCGAGCCAGCGGCTGCTGGATCACCAGGTGGTATTGTAGCCAAGATGGAGCCTTGGTCTAAAAAGTCTGATCGGGCTCTCTTTATTTCAGACATTTCCCTGCAACCAACAGTGTGTTGGCCACAAACGCTCCCTCCTTCCACACTGTAAATTTGCCACGGTGCGACACCCTTATGTAGTTGAAAAGTTTCTCAGAATTAAAGAAAATTTTGTCTTCAAGTCAACAAATCACATATTTTGTCTGAAGCAGACAGGCCCGAGGTTTTCGAGGCATGTAAAAAAGTTACTTTAGTTCCACTAATGATAACACTGATGACTGGACTGCGATGCTGCCTCCAAACTTTCTTTAATTGATTTTTTTTTTTATGCTGTGTACATGTTTTGTTATTCTTATATGATGCAGATGTGCAGTAGCGTAGTTAGATTTGAGGAGGATGAATCGCTGCATATGTAAAAGGATAGTTCCACATTTAAGGAAAGCCACCGACTCATTCTTCATGGGAAACCGACGCACCTCTCGCATCTGATCACTCAACATGAAGTCACTATCATCAGCTGGTTAAATTGCTTGTTTGTGTAGCACGAATAAGCTCCTTTACCGGGCGTGTCCCGAGAAAGTCCTTTAAATTACGCTTATAGAAGGTTTAAATGCAAAAGCTCACATGCAACAGTCAGAAACACAAGCTGTAGAATAAGTACTTTATAAATCAAAACACAAAAGTTCAAAATGAGTAAAAAAATGTAGATAGACTGAGTAGTGCAAGGTGCAAACTGTGCTATAGTGATGAATGGAAAAATAACCCAGCAATAAGACCGGCTGCACTCTGTAGGTGACAGATTTCCTTTGTTAGCATCTCTAAATCTTTTATTAACATGTCACATGACACATGTCGGTTTAATATGTCCAAAGAATAAGTGTTTAAAACAGAAACTGTGTTTCAGTCTTCTTCTTAACCCACAGTGAAATGTCATTTCTAACTGTGAATTTTCCACTTGGATTATGTT